TTTCATTTCCTCTTTAAGGGCCTCTACATCTTCATAAAGTTATTTTTAAAGTCGTTTTCTTCTGCTTCATCTGTGTTGGGATGTTCAGGTATTGCTGTTGTAGAATCACTAGGTTCTGGTGGTGCCATATTGGTCTTTATGTTGTTGAATGTATTACACTGCTGTTTACCCATCTGGGTTTGGGATAATTATAGCAACAGGTGTTGATTCTTGTGATGTCTCTGTTGGATGGATATTCTGTTCCTTTACTGTCTGTTTCCTTTATTGTCTTTTGGCCTGAATGGCCAAGGGGTCTGATGAATTGCGGATTGTCAGGTTGAGTAGGGTGTCTAAGCTGAGATTTGTGGCAGTTTGGGTGTCTAGATCCAGCATATCGTCCAGTTCTTCTGGCTAGCATGGGTTTTACTTGTACCTATGGGGTCTGCTCTTCTAATTGGTGTAGTTTTTGCCTGTGCTTGTTCTGCCAGCTGGTGTGGGTGGCGCTTTGTATAGGATCTGCTGATGTTGCTGGAGAGGGTTGTTCACAGGGAGGATGCTCTTCTTCCAAATGGTGGAGGTAGTTGGTGCTTGTGCCTCTAGGGGCTGCTGATTTTGTGGGGGGGTGGTTGGCCAAGGGGAGGATGATGGGTTCGGTGGGTTTCCATGGCAGAGTGGGTCCTGTAGGTTACAGGCCCAGTGGGTGGCAGCGGTGGGGGTGGAGAGGCCGGTCCACAGGCCTCTTCCTGCTGCTCCACAGCTAGTCTCTAAAAATGAAAGGAGTGGTACACTTGAGAGGATGGTCTAGATGTTGTGTAGACCAGAAAAGTCCCGATTTGTCTCTTTTCCATTTCAGAATGCTGGGAAGAGGCAGTTCTGATGTCTTGTTACCACTGGGAAGAGCAGCTAGTAGTATAGGCCGAGGAGTGGAGAAATCTCCCAGTGCCTTCGGCCTGACGGCTCGGGATCCCCCACGGCTGCCCCAGCCTCCAGCTCTGTCTCCGACCTCACTGCACTCTGCAGATCCCCCTCCAGTCCTGACTATGGAACGAAAGGAAAAGTGAGTTAGGGTCACCTTCTGTTCTAATGGAGGGATGGTGGAGGAAGAGGCGCCTCTGCAGCCTGCGCTCAGGCTGCTGGGTAGAATTGTGGGTACAGTTCTGTGAGTCCACATTCTTCTGGGGTGATGGGGGCTGGAGTGTTTGTCTTTTGACAGAGGAGAGATAGATGAAGAGATTCCTGAAGTACAATGGTTTTAACTGTGAATAGAAACAGTTGGCTTGTCACGTCCCTTTCACATCAGACTGACAGTTTGCTGTCATGTTGAAGATAAGGATGTCACCTAGGAGGGGTATTAACTGCCCCTCATCTCTCTCTGTGGAAGGATTCTGTGTCCTTAGGTAGCTGGCCTTGGTTACTGTAGCACTATTTGTAGGGCAGCCTGGGTGACTTTGCTGTGTGATTAGATGTGGCTGCATTTATACACCTTGACTCCCAGTTTGTGTATCTGTAAATGGGAAAAATATTTTCTCAGTCTTTTCCTTGTTGATGGGGGCTGGTCAGATGGTTGTTGAGGTATGTGCTGTGTGTGTGTGTGTGTGTGTGTGTGTGTGTGTGTGTGTGTG